TTCTTCTGGGATTTCATGTGGATGTTCCGTGGCAGGCCCTGCCTCTGGTCTTCTTCTGGGATTTCATGTGGATGTTCCGTGGCAGGCCCTTCCTCTGTGGTCTTCTTCTGTGGTGTGTCTTGGGTTCTGGTGGCACCTCCAGTTCTGGAGCGTGTAGGTCAGTTCTTTGTAGACTGCCCTTCAGTTTGGATGCGTCTGGTGTTCACTTGTAACTGGAGGTAAGCTTTGCATTTTGGTAGGAATACCTCTGACGGGATGTGTGTCCTCACTGTGTGCCATCGGGTGGCTGACGAGGTCCATTGCAGCACTTGGTTAAGGTGGTGGCTTTATGCGTCAGCCATTACTCTCACTGCCATATGGTTGTCACTGAGAGGATGGTCACAATAGGCCTTACCTGATACACTCGATCCTGGCGCGGTGCCAGGATGTTTCTGATGGCTGTTGTTCTTGTCGGTCATGGGGTGCAGGGGAGAGGGTGAGGGTGGGGGGTGGCCTCTAGAAGGAAACCCACAGACAGAACAAGGTTGGAAAAGCCAAGAAGGAGGATCCTTACCCTACATCTGGACATGGCTGGATCCAAAGGAGAACTTCCCAGGCACCTGAGGCTGTTGTGGGACCCCGGACAGAGCGTGCAGTGTGGAGGGTGGACACGGGGCTGATGAGGTCACCGCTGGGAAGGGGGGGTCCAGCTGAGAGTCCAGTGTCACCTGGCTCAGGTGATGGCTGCCTGCACTAACCCCAACCTAGTCATGTCTCCTGCTTGACACGCTGCCTGGGTCTCTCTAGCGCTCCTTCCTCCCCCAAACCAGGTCCTCCAGAGGCTCATCAAGTCCCGAGGGAAGTCTCAGTCCAGACACCTCAACGTCCAAATAGCGGCTTCGGAGAAGCTGGCCCAGTGTCCCCCTGTGAGTTCTCAGACCTGGGGTTGGGGCCTGGGGCGGGGGTGGGGTGGGGTGAGGCGGGGCGAGGTTTCCTCTGACCCGCATGCCAGAAACAGAGTGTCATGCCAGAAACAGAGTGTCGGGGAGCACCTGGGCCAGCCCCATAGGTGCAGACTGGACACGGCGGTCAGAGACTGACTTTAGGGCCCAGAGCGCCCCTCTCGGTGGAGATGGCAAACCCCCTCTCCAAGCCTTGCCTGCTTTATTTCTGGATTGAGGGCGCTCCTGCAGATCCTGGAGCCATCCCTTCCAGCACATCCAGTGCCTTCTTTATAATCTTGTCCTTCAACCCCTTGGCTCTACCCACTGCCCCCAGACCACTCCCCGTCCCCCCTGGCCACACCCTGGCTCATCCCAGCCCCGCCCCTAACCCCACCTCCACAGGAAATGTTTGACATCATCCTGGACGAGAACCAATTGGAAGATGCTTGCGAGCACCTGGCCGAGTACTTGGAAGCCTATTGGAAGGCCACCCACCCTCCCAGCAGCACGCCCCCCAATCCGCTGTTGAATCGCACCATGGCCACCGCAGCCCTGGCGGCCAGCCCCGCCCCCGTCTCCAACCTCCAGGTACAGGTGCTCACTTCCCTCAGGAGGAACCTCAGCTTCTGGGGCGGGCTGGAGGGTTCACAGCAGGGCAGCAGCGTGGTGCCCCCGCCGCAGGAGCACGCTATGTAGTGGGGCCCCACTGCTCTTTGACGTCGAGTGCAGGGAACATGGTGAAAAGGTGGGAAGAATGATCTGTTTTTGTGTTTTTGTAAAAAAAGTGGTGAGCAGCAGCCTCTGGTGTCTGTGGTTTTTGATGGGAGTGGGGCTGGTGGTGGCACCTCCCTGGGCCCGGTCCAGTAGGGTCACATCAGCGGTCCTGAGGACCCTGGGCTCTGAAGCTTGGTTGGGGATCTCATAGGAAGAGGGACGAGGAAGGAACCCCGAGGAAGACCGATAGCCTCAGTTGCTGGGCTCCACATCCATTTTAAACCCAACACGGAGGCCTCACATTCCAAAGGGGCCTACAGAGCAGGGACCTCAGAACCAGGGACCCCCTCAGAGCCGGAGCTGTTAGAGCCCCAGAGTCCTGAAACCCAGATGGGGACCCCAAATGTAGCATCTGTGAATTGACGCAGCCCCCTCCACCCTTCTCTGGGGAGAGCTTTCTTATGGGTGCTCCACCCTGCCTGCTCCCTCCTCCCACGGGCGCCTGGGCCCATCTCAGAGACCACAGTGTTAGGTATGGCCCTAGTTTGGTGCCAGAAGCACCCATGGGACCATTGCTTGTTACATGTGTTCCAGCCACAGAGCCCCTTCTGTTCCCTGAATTCAGTGGAAGCCCACAGTGGAAATCAGGCCTCCCTGCTTTGCTCAGGGCGTCTGGGCCTTGGGCTCCGCTCCCCTCCATAGGTGCCACTGAAGCACTTTTGTGCCCCACTTCCTGGTCCCAGATCTCCGGGGAAGGGCTTGGAAGCTTCTGGCCCTCACCTAACCTCCATCCACACCACAACTGAGAAATGGAGGCAGAGGGGCTGGGATGAGGTTGTCATTTGCTCAGGGTGACACCGCTCATAAGTGGCAGAGATAGGACTGGAACGGCCACCCAGTGCCTCCACAGTGCCACAGGGGCAGGGATCACTAGCTCACCTGGGCAGGCCCTTTGGTGATGACATGGGGCCACCCAGTGGGGGAGGGAGACCCGTCAGCCTGGCCTTACCAGCTGCTGCTTGGGCAGGGGAGGGTTGGTGCTCAGAGGCTGCCATCTGACCAGGGAAGGCAGGGGGAAGCCTGCGGTTCTGCAAATGTGTGACTGGAATCTGGTGTGGGCAGGAGGAGTGTGCATTTGGGCTGCACCCCACCCCACCCCACCCCCGGTCATTAATGTACTGGGAAACAGTGGCCAATGACTAACCCAACCAACCTCTAACGACTGAGCGGCTATACTAACAAGCTAGCTGCTAATGGTGCTTCACGCTACAGAGACTAAACCTTTCACAGGCTGTGCCCTGTGCTGACCATGCCAGTTCACGCGTCCCCCTGCCTTGTCAAGGTTGGCCACCCCTGGCCCGGTGGAGGGTCCAGCCTCCAGGGAGAGCCACTCGCCCAGCGCCCAGCCCCTAGGCCAGCCCCTCCACCAGCCGCCTCACTAACCTGCCTTGCTTTGTGTTTCTCTCGCCCGGCCTGATCTGCATGGTGTGTGCCATCGCCTGCTAACCAGGGACCCTACCTTGCTTCCGGGGACCAGCCGCTGGAACGGGCCACCGGGGAGCACGTCAGCGTGCACGAGTACCCGGGGGAGCTGGGCCAGCCGCCCAGGCTTTACTCCAGCAGCCACCCACCTGGCCGGGCAGGCACCCTGCGGGCGCTCTCCCGCCAAGACACCTTTGATGCCGACACCCCCGGCAGCCGAAACTCTGCCTACACGGAGCTGGGAGACTCGTGTGTGGACATGGAGACGGATCCCTCCGAGGGGCCAGGGCTTGGAGACCCTGTCGGGGGGAGCACCCCGCCCGCCCGGCAGGGCTCTTGGGAGGAGGAGGAGGAAGACTATGAGGAAGAGCTGACCGACAACCGGAACCGAGCCCGGAATAAGGCCCGCTACTGCGCCGAGGGCAGGGGTCCGGTGCTGGGGCGCAACAAGAACGAGCTGGAGGGCTGGGGGCGCGGCGTCTACATCCGCTGAGGGCACGGGCCTGACCGCCCGGGTTGCTGTCTGCGCTCGGGCTTGCCTCCAGGAGGTGTTGTCGCCCTCCTTTCAGATGCCTTGGTCCAATGTTGGGGTTCTTTGGTGGTCGCCCCAGCTTCTGGGAGGCCCCTAAGACCTGCCTGCTGAAGCTGAATGGAGGGATACCCACTTTTCTGCTGTGTCCTCTCTCCCCCATCTCGGGGGGGCTCTTCTCCCCCTGCCCCCAGAGAAAAGGTGCACTTCCTTAACTCTTTCTACACCAGACTCTCAGTGGAGATCCTGGATGAGATGGCTCCTTCTCTTCCTGGGGTCAGAGGTCACTGCTCCCCGTGCCCATGAAGCCTCTCTCTCCAACCCCTGACCCAGGGCCCCTCACCCTGTTCCCCAGCTTCCTGACAGCATTGTCTGGTATGGTAGGTGGGAGCTGTAGTATGGGTGCTCCTGCTTAGGGAGCATCTGGCTTCACACTGGCAGGCATCCCCGGGGTGCCCCGGCCTTCCACGGGCCTGGCGATGCCCAGTGCCTAGAACTCTGAGGAGTGGGTAACCGGACACACTCCTACCCACCCCACCACTCCCATGCCTCCGCCTTCACCCACCCAGGAATGAGCTTCGCCTGCCACCCCTGCCTGCTCTCATCCAACAAGGGCCCTCTTGCTTGGGCCCCCATTCCACGTGCCAGCTGAGCCTGGAGCCCATGGGACACGCTAGTCTGCCTCTTTGAAACCAAAAACACTCTCTTCCACCCTCACCCTAAGGCCCCAGAGGAGACTGCTGGTGGTGGGGGAGGGGGGAGGGCTCGGGACCTCGGATCTCCCCTGAGGGGCTTGGCTGCTGCTGTTGCTACTCTACATTTGCCTCCTGTGGCCCTACCCTTCACCTGTGTCTACCCCTTGTCCCCAGGAGAGGCCTTGGCACCCCTTCTCCCCTGAGGTACTTCCTCTGCCTCAGTGTCTCCACAGTCCAGCAGCCCTGACCCTCCCCAGCAGCCCAGCTGGGCCTGAGAGAGCCGATTGTGCCAACGAGGACTGGGCTGTGCCCGGCTGCCCACCTCAGGGATGGGCACTCCTGCCTGTCTCGCCACCTCCTGTGCCAATGTTGTCCCGTCCACCTCCTGGGTGGTGGGGTGCAGCTTCTGCTCACTGGTTAGGAGACACCACTGCCCAACCCTCCCTGTCTTATGTCCTGTGCTCCTGTCTGTCTGTCTGTCTGTACTCTCCTAGGACAAGTATTTTGCCACACACAAAACCGCTGTCCTGTCCTTTGTGGCTGCGTGCCAAGCCTGCTTCCTTGTACGGCCACATGGCTGCCACTCCAGGCAAGTGGCATCTTGGACACCGTGGTGTGTGTGGGGGGGGTACACACACGCAGGGCGGCTGCTGAGAACAAGTTCAAAAGGAGACTTGGTTGTGCGGCCTCCGAGGAATCGCCTTCAGCCCTGTCTTCATGTACCATTCAGCTGTGCAGGAGGGGCTGGGGGTCACTCCGGAGAAGGGAGCGAGGCCCCGACACAAAGTCTTCAAGGCACAGGTTGTTCGCCTGCTCCTGTGGCCTTTGCTGCCCCCACCCCCTGCCTACACACACACACACACACATACACACACACCTATGCTCCAGGGAGGGGGCTGGAGCCCCTTT